TCTCATAATACGCACCATAATATAATAAGTCGCTTATTTCTTTTGCTGTATCTACACTTGTACATATTTGTTAGATCTCAACAAGAGGTGACTCTGCTCAGTCAGTGTCTACGTCCCTGATACAGCTTTCTAACGACTAATTATATTCTTCCGTATCTACATAACAATACTTTACAAGCAGAAGTAAAATTGACTTTAAATCGTCACATCCGCTTTCGACTCTCACATATTTATATGTGTTGGAATAACATCTTTTTTTACAATTGATCATAGCGACAGAGAGACCTTGTGGAACATACTTAGTTCTAGGTCCCTGCCATAGTATTCATGAGGATTTCTGGCATCAGACTTTTTACTTGGAAAATTTCAAGAAGTTTTTCCGGCATCATCACTTAGAGGTACTATCATTATCAGAACATACAGCTTAACAAGGTGACAAATAAAAATAATCCACTTGACCTAGTTTCTATTCAACCTTTGTAGTATCACTCCTCGTCTCTTTTTTCTGTCCTAGCTTCTACTGCTGCATCTCTTTCGATAGTCCCATTTCATACCGCAGGTCTAAAAAGCTATGAAAATGATGCCACTACGGTTAAACAGAAAATTGGTCATTAGGATTACCTTCACTTATCACTTTGATAAATTGTGACTCTGTGCTATAAATGGCGCCTTTCTGTGACGATGCGAAATGCAGTGTCGGTTATATGTTTGGGAATTTATCAAGCCAATGGTGTGAAGCTGGAAAACATCATGAATACTACGGCAGAAGACGCAGGAATAGGTATTTTCCACATGGTCTCCCTTTAGTTCTAGCAAAGCTGCAAAACGAAGTCATATAAACACTCAACAGCTAAAGGAGAATGTACTAAGTACAAAACCCATATGATCTTGTATTATATATATATATACGAAAATGCATTCAATTAAGGGATCCAGTTAGTTGTAGATAAATATGTTATTGATTTTAATAATCATTACAAACTAATAATGTAAAACGAAAGATTTCGAGATATTAAAAATTTAATAAACGGACTTTAAAATAATAAAATATCAAATTTAACCCTCACTCCCCTAACTAATAGGTTCCCTTTAATTTATAATTTTTAAAGAAAGCCTGTTATATTGTTTGCTTTTAATTGTAATATGGCTTCTATAAACAAAAGCACTCAAAAGTCTGCTTAAAAACTGAAGCAGTTGCATAAACCCACGAATCTCTTCTTTTTACGCACTTTCATACGAAATGAAAGTCTACATAAAAATACTTGTCTTGCATCAACTTAAAAATAGTCTTATAGAATTATAATTGAGAACCCTGCTCTTCATGAATATTCAATCATTTTTCTTTACCAAACAGATGAAGGGATATAAAAATTTCTTAGGATAACCCTAAAGTATACATTTTATAGACAAATAAAAGAATTAATTTTCTTTTGATTAACTGGATTTAGCCTGCAAAGAATTTTCAGTTAACTACAAAAAATTATTTATTTGCCTAAAAAATTAGCAATAAAAAGTATATATTTGTATTTAATATTTCTTTTAAGATCATTTAAAAAGTCGATGATTGTTTAATTTTTTTTCTGCTCAAGTTTGACAGTTTTGAATAGCATCTCAGTTCCTGCAACCTTCTGAATTGAAATAGTTTATAACCTTTTTTGACTGCCTGTTCTTATGGATAAATCGTGTAGATGGTTTTATGAAATAACACCAATATGCGTCGGACATAAAAGAGATAACACTATATATATGAAAGAATTTAGTCATCGTAGGAATGTGAGATACACGCCTTACTCCATTCAGACAAATAACAAGTCAATTAAAAAC